TGGCACTTTGAGGAACTCGGATCTGTATCGGGAATGACGTTGCTGGAGAGGGGGCGAATCTGTTTGCCCTGAAGAAGAAGTGGGCTTCTTCTTCTTCTTCTTCTACTTCCCCCCTCTCTCTTTCTTGTCCATGTATGCATATACTCGGTTAGGGGAACAGATCTGTTCGACATTATTCATCAACAAGATTGGATTACTCGAGTTGCTTTGTCATTGAGCTACTGGACTTGTGCTGCACGAGCGCTGATGCTCGTGCGTTGCTGTGAACAGTATCTGCACGTCCAATGTGTGTTATCTCGCCTGGGTTCATTACACGTGCTTCTGGTACAATTGACAGCCAAAGATGCGTCTTTGTGTGGGGGAGGTAGCAGTTTGGTAGCCCATGTTGTACATATGCTGTGTGGAGGTGTGACCCTTCTGGAACCGGCCTTGTCCTCCCAGTCCAGTCCCGGGTTGCCGGTCTGTTCCTGGACTGGTACGCCCGGCGTCCAGGTATGTCCCCTGGCGGTCCACGTATATGTTTGTCGTACTGGTCTTTTTCCTGATCAGCTCAAAGTTTTGGGCCATTCTGAGTTGGGCTTGGACAAGTTGCAAAGGGGTTCAACCGGTGGAGTGTCTTTGTGGGGTGTGAAGGTAGAGGCTCGCGAGTAAGGGAGCTGCAGAGTTTCTGCGCCCTGTGCTAGTACCACCTAGTCTTTCCATTGATGTAACAGTGGAGCATATCTCTGAGAACTCCATCATTGCACCGTTTGCGGCGTTTGGGAATTTCTGAGTTGTTCGGGTCTCTGCTTTCTGCATTAGTAGAGCGATTTGGAGCTCTTCATAAGCGATGAGCCACTGGAAGCTCACCAGCTATGATCGGGGCATGTTTAGGTGCTTTCTCCATGACATGTTTAGAGTTTGTGTGTAGTCCTCCCTGGTAGCCTAGAACACCACCTTTGTATAGTTGGCTGTGAAGTTTGGTGACCTAGGAGGGGTCCTGGTGTGACATTGAAGTCCTCAATATTGATCCTCTTCCCCTGCCCTTTCTGATCATTGCCCTCTTCCTCTGCCCTTTCTTATGCACTATCCCTACTCCCAGGTACCAAATTTCCGATCCTTGAGGGTGTACATCAGGTGGGAAATTCTCTGATTTTCACCAATCACTCTAACCTTTCTGAGGGTAAAACTTTCCAAGGTCACTTCTTGTCGGTCTGTGTCTGAAATGTTTCGATGGTTTTGTTGGCCGCATACAAGGACGAAAGCTGTGAAGATTGCCGAATAGTTGGGTGGGTTTACTATTGCATGGAGACCACCCTGCATGAAACACTTGCACACAAGTCTGACACCAACTTGCGCACACTGTAGACACACGAGATATAATTTGCAAAAATTGTCTCGGTAATCAACACAGCCCAAGCGGGGTAGTTGGTTGAGCACATAAGTGGCACTCAGGAGGTCATGGGTTCGATACCCAACGTTGTCCTTTCGATCCCCACGACCTCGTGTTGGCTTGGGCCTCCCGGCTGGTTGGGAAGATAGGTCTGTCCAGCCCCCGCCGGGTGTTAGGAGCTTGGGTATTGCTCCCTGCAAAGAGCAGAGATAGGTAGGCGTAGACCCATAACCTTAGGATAGCTTGTTGTTGGCTAGTGAATTAAGTCCCCTGTAGTTGAACATGGAGCTGGGTTCATTGTTGGTTGGGTTGTCGTGCCCCTTGCAGGTCAGGAACGTGAGTAGGCCAGTGCGAGTACACAGCCCGAGGTAGGTAGCGTGAGATGGAGAAATATTGAAAGAAGAAAATAGCATAGAAAAATGCAGCTGTTAAGAAAAAAAAGAAAAAAGAAAAAAGAGTAACAAAGTTACAAACTGTCTTTTTCGTCAGGCGCGGCTATGGCTGCCAACACACAACATGCAGGTGTCTCTCTCTCTCTCTCTCTCTCTCTCTCTCTCTCTCTCTCTCTCTCTCTCTCTCTCTCTCTCTCTCTCTCTCT